GGGCATTTGCGGTTATTTTGATACTGCGCAGCATATGACATTTCAAAAAAAAAAAAATATCTCAAAAAATATGTTTTAGGCAACTTTGCAGTATTTTAATTTTTTTTAGCATACATAGAATTTAGAAATAAAAATGCAGGACTAGTTTGACAGTTTTAGAGGCATATAAGCTCTTATATCAAAAACGCTTAGATTTAGGCATATGACATGAAACATATAAAATCTACCTAGAATCTTGTGTAGAATCCAAAAACCTTAAATTGTGTGATTTGTAAAAAAACAGTAATAAAGTGATTTTTTAATGACAAAATAATTACTATATGCAGAAACTTTCTAAAAAATTTTAAAATAATTATTTTATTTTGATAACCTCTAAATTAGTTTTTTAAATTTATAGATTTTTCTTAGTGGTTCGTAGAAAAAAATACACATCGACCATATCGCAATCTAATGATTAAAAAAATTTGCCGTAAAAATTTTAGAGTGCCAACAGTATATTTTTGTATATTAATAAATCACATTCAAGGCAGTCTGGTCATACTTCAGGAACTTTATCGATCGATATCTCAAAAACTGGCTGAGGAGAAAATTTTAAAATTTGGGAGCTTGCTACATGTCTTAGGATCTATTCGGCTAAAAAATTTTCATCTATTAAACATTTTCGATTATACCGGAAATAGACCTTAAGTCGGTTATTTTAAATACAACACCCTATATTTCTGGATTCTTTTCAAGATTCTAGGTATACATTATGTATAATGTCCTGTACCTAAGTCTAATCGTCTTTAGCATAAATACTTATTAAATATGTGTTTAAAACAGTAGAAAGTCTGGTATTTCTATTTCTGGATACTATAAATAATAAAATAAAAAATTTAAATAACTTTAAGTTGTCTATAATATATTTTTTTGTTAATCTCATAAACTGCGCAGTAGCAAACTAACTGCAAATGGCTTGGCATCTCATTTCCATAATCATTATTATAGATACTGTTTTTTTTTATAATTTCAAGTTGCCTAAACCCCTTCCACAAATTCGTTATCAGCTCTCCGGCTATCATTTGTTTGAGCTGCATTATCAGCCCGACCGTTATCGTTATCTTGATTCAAGATAATCCTTCCTCTTGGATGTCTTTCGAGAATCTTCTGTAGGCGACCAAACTGTAGTTTATCATTCTAAATTAACAATACGTGTATCCTTTAGTGCTACAGAGTAAACATGTCCAGTAAAAAGAAAATAGCATTGGAAAAAAAATGAAATAAAATATTTAGGAGTTACCCTAGATTGTCATTTACGTTGGGACGCACATATAAATAACTTAACACAAATACCTTAAGACTTCTTTTATTTAAAAATATTTTACAAGTTGCTCACCTAAGAACTATTTATTATGCTTTATTCCAAAGTCGTGTACAATACGCAATCGTCTGTTGGGGTGCTACAACCAAAAAACACTTGACCAAACTTGAAATATTACAAAAGAGAATTATAAAAATAATACACAACATAAAGTTAGATACCTAACAGATGCATTGTTCGAGAAAGTAAAAATAATGGATATACGACAATTATACATATACTCAGTTATAATTTTAATCTACAAAAATAAACCATTATTAAACAAAATTACCCATAACTCTGATACAAGAAGCAAGGATAAAGGAAAAGTTGGTACCCACCTTGTAAATAAAACAATAGCACAACGTTTTTATATTTATGTAAGTGCAAAAATCTTTAATTATCATAAATTCCGTTGAACTCTTTAAATCTAACATCAAAAAATTTCTTATTAATATAGATAGAAAATCCCAAAGAGAAATTATTGATTACATATACAAGTATTCGAACTTATATATTATAATTTAGTTTTAATTGTATACTTTTTACTTAATATTTTTATTTTGTACATCTTAATTATTTTTATTTTATATGTATTTTAAATTATGTGTTTTTTAGCTAGTTTAATATTGTTATTGTTCTTGTTCAAGAATTATAATTTAATATGTATTCTTTAATTAATTTAATTAGATTTTATGAACTTATACAAGTCAAACTTTAATAATGTAACCTATATATTTAAAAAAAATTGTTAAAAAAAAATGGTTTCAAAAAAAAGTTAGTAATTCGGCAGCCCATGCGCAACCACATGGTCATAAATGGGAAGCAAATACTTTTAATAAATAAGGTACCTATGTCTACTCTATTAATTTAAACTTATTTAAAATGTACCTACAACTATGATGTAACCAAAAAACAAAAATGCTGAATGAAGATTTATTATTATTATTATTATTATTATTATTATTATCATTATTATTATTATTATTATTATTATTATTATTATTATTATTATTATTATTATTATTATTATTATTATTATTATTATTATTATTATTATTATTATTATTATTATTATTATTATTATTATTATTATTATTATTATTATTATTATTATTATTATTATTATTATTATTATTATTATTATTATTATTATTATTATTATTATTATTATTATTATTATTATTATTATTATTATTATTATTATTATTATTATTATTATTATTATTATTATTATTATTATTATTATTATTATTATTATTATTATTATTATTATTATTATTATTATTATTATTATTATTATTATTATTATTATTATTATTATTATTATTATTATTATTATTATTATTATTATTATTATTATTATTATTATTATTATTATTATTATTATTATTATTATTATTATTATTATTATTATTATTATTATTATTATTATTATTATTATTATTATTAATATTATTATTATTATTATTATTATTATTATTATTATTATTATTATTATTATTATTATTATTATTATTATTATTATTATTATTATTATTATTATTATTATTATTATTATTATTATTATTATTATTATTATTATTATTATTATTATTATTATTATTATTATTATTATTATTATTATTATTATTATTATTATTATTATTATTATTATTATTATTATTATTATTATTATTATTATTATTATTATTATTATTATTATTATTATTATTATTATTATTATTATTATTATTATTATTATTATTATTATTATTATTATTATTATTATTATTATTATTATTATTATTATTATTATTATTATTATTATTATTATTATTATTATTATTATTATTATTATTATTATTATTATTATTATTATTATTATTATTATTATTATTATTATTATTATTATTATTATTATTATTATTATTATTATTATTATTATTATTATTATTATTATTATTATTATTATTATTATTATTATTATTATTATTATTATTATTATTATTATTATTATTATTATTATTATTATTATTATTATTATTATTATTATTATTATTATTATTATTATTATTATTATTATTATTATTATTATTATTATTATTATTATTATTATTATTATTATTATTATTATTATTATTATTATTATTAATATTATTATTATTATTATTATTATTATTATTATTATTATTATTATTATTATTATTATTATTATTATTATTATTATTATTATTATTATTATTATTATTATTATTATTATTATTATTATTATTATTATTATTATTATTATTATTATTATTATTATTATTATTATTATTATTATTATTATTATTATTATTATTATTATTATTATTATTATTATTATTATTATTATTATTATTATTATTATTATTATTATTATTATTATTATTATTCCAAAAAAAGTGGCGACTATCTTTTTGTTTCGTTTTTTATACGAATAACTTTTCTTGAAACCGTTTTTTTTTTCTCAATGACCCTAAATGACGATTGTTGTTTTTTTATTCGGGATCAAAGCAGTATACCCATGTTTCATCACTTTTGATGATGTTGTACATAAAATTAGACGATCCACAATTAAAGCGATCTAGTGTAGATCTGTACCAACTCTCACGGTCATCTTTTTGAGCAAAAGTCAAGTTGTGGGGCATCCACTGAGAACAAACTTTTAAATGATTGTGTAAACTAGTGTTAAATGCTTTCACGCCAATCTTTAAAGGTACTTTAACGTTTCTGACAGTAATGTACCAAGTTTCGAATAAGGTCAATATTTTTTTTCCGTAATTGCCGTTTGTGGTACAGGAGCTCAACAGCTGTCATTTAAGAAATGTCGACAACGTTGAAATTTATTTTACCACCGCTTTACGGTAACGAAGGAACACGAATTGTTGCCAAGCACAAAAATAATTTAAAACATTCTTTAAAGTTTAAGGAACTCTTGAAATTGTAAATAATCTTAACCTGACAATATGTCTTATTGATTTCCATCACTTATTCGCGAAAGGATTACTTTAAAGTTATGTAACTTATAATCAGGAATATTTGACAACTGTTACTAACTAAACTAGATTGAAATGTTAGACAAAGTTTATTGCAAAAATATCATCGCCTCATAGCCTTTTGGGGAAAGAGAATAGCGCTCAAAAATTGTATTGTTGACTGATATTTTATGTCTTTAAAATATGGATGGATAAGGTTAACTTCTTAATTTGCCGATGTTTTGAGTTTATTTTAGGTGTTTTGTTTTAACGAATAATTTTTGTACCGTCCTCTAAACGGCCACAAATCTATTTTGACCAATTCAATGCGCATGCGCTGATTTCGTATAATTTCTTGATGGTACAAAAACATTTATGAAATGCCTATTAAACTGATGATTGTACCTTGCACACATTGCTTTCAATGATCATTTACCGTTGTATGTTTTTATTTTTTCTAACTTTACTTTAATGTGTCTGTTTTTTTTTATGTTATCGACATTCATATATTTATTTTGGGCTACTCTATATCATTAAATTATTTGTCTATTATATTTAAAAAAAACAAAATGAACCTACCAACTTCAAATAATTGCTATAAGTAGTTATGAAGCTATCTTTTAATTTAATATTTTTTCTTTAATCAACTACAAGTTAAATTATTGAAATAAAAACGGTTTTAGGGAATTTTGGATAAATGGAGTTTTAGAAAAGTTGATAAAGTTGCACAACGACTACCTGAACTCGTTGAACAAGGAAAATTTGCTGAAGCATTTGGAATTTGGAGAGGTGTAGAATATGAATTAAAAGTAAATACCTATGGTGTAGACATGTATAATGTACTTACAAAGAAAAAGGCATCAGCATCAGTACCAGGTAAATATTTTTTTTACGAACTCTTACAAAAAGACATCTTTCGCCACAGGATACTTTCAGCGAAAACTTGATTTCCGTCACTAGTGAGAAAAAATCCCATAACGTTTACTTTCGTCTCTAGTGACGAAAGTAAGTTGTTACATATTTTCATATATCAGTCGCCTCGTATAATATTTTGGCAGCTTATAATTATTAATAATGAAATAAAAAGATGCTCATTAAATTCTATATGCGTTTTTACCTAAACTTTAATGAATTGAAGATAAAATGAAAATGTATAAAAAATAGTGCAAATTAAACCAATCTACATCTAGTTTCCTGGTTTTCATTTGTTTATTTGAAGTTTTATCACTTTTGAGAACTGTCAGTTTCAGTTCGTCCTAAATTTAACACATTTTCATGATGTCTGAGTCAGAAAGCGATTGTACTCCCCCAGAAATTATTTTTAAAGCTGAAGAAACCTCTTCAGATTTATTACCGGCCAAATCAAAAAAGAGATATGAAGAAATTTATATCAAATTTTTGGACTGGAGAGAAAAAAAATAAAGTGAAATTATTTTCGGAAACTGTACTACTAGCATACTTTGGAGAAATATGTTCAAATTTTAAACCGTCGACGTTATGGTCCATTTATTCGATGTTAAGAACTACACTCTCTGTTAAAAATGATGTCGATATTAGTAAATATCCAAAGTTACGTTCGCTTTTGAAAAGAAAATCTGATGGTTTTAAAAGCCAAAAATCCAAAATTTTTTCGCCTGAAGACATAAAGACTTTCCTAAAGAATGCACCTGACTATAAATATTTAATAACAAAGGTAACGGAATTATTATTTTTATTTTAACAAATAATTAATACATAACTACTAATATTTGTAGGTAGCATTAGTTTTTGGATTATCTGACGCCTGTCGTTGCCACAAACTAAAAGATTTAACAATAAGCGATGTAAAGGATACTGGAAGTATTCTGTTAGTTAAAATCCGTAATACAAAAACAAAAGTTCCACGTTCTTTTCATATTTCTGGACCCTTTTATATTTCTAAAAATCTGATGTGTCCAACACATGACTTTCCTATCTAGTTATTACAGGCTTTTTCCGTTTATTGTGTACAACCTATTGCAGCATCTCTATAAATGTTTAGAGGATAAACTAAATATATACATTGTCCACATACATCTACCGCGAAACATTTTTCTATAGATATTCATTGAAAATGAAAATACTGAAAAATTTAAATTTAGCACTTTTCCTACAATTTTTCCATTACGGTCCATTTTAAAAAAATCATGTATGAACAAATATTATAGAGATCGATATCGCAAACAACTTTTATTTCAACAATTTTCATAAAAATCAGAATTTTGCACATTTTGTCAAATTTTTCGAATACGGACCATTTCAGGAAATTTTTACATTAAACAAAAATTATAGATAATAATATTAGAAGTAACTTTTATTTGAACAATTTTTTTCTCCAAACATAAATAACAGATATATTCCCTAAAATATAAAAACGGCCTCCCATAAAGTACCCCCCCCAGATGTTCCGACTTTGTCCAAAATCTAATCATTTCACGTCAGGCCGAAATAAAACTTAAGTTTAAAATTTAATGTTTTTTTCTTTATCCGTTTTTGAGTTTTCTTCAAATTTCGAAATTTACACATTTTCTCAAATATCTCGAATACGGTCCATTTTAGAGAAATTATCTATAGAATAAAAATTATAGAGAATTATATTACAAACAACTTTTATTTGAACAATTTTTATAAAAAATAATTTTTTTTACATTTTGTCAAATTTCGCGAATACGGACCATTTTAGGAAAATTTTGTATATAACAAAAATTATAGATAATTATATCAGAAGTAACTTTTATTTGAAGAATTTTCTTCTCCAAACGTAAATAACAAATATATTTCATAAAATATAAAAATGACCACCTATAAAGTACCCCCCCAGATGTTCCGACTCTGCCCAAAATCTAATCAGCTCATTAGACGCTGGAACAAAGCTTAAGTTTGAAATTTGGTGTTTTTCCGTGTATCGGTTCATGAGTTATGCGTTATACAGACACACACACACACACACAGACACACACACACACACACAGACACACACACACACACACAGACACACACACACACACAGACATCATCGCGAAAATAGTCAAAACGGATTCAGGGGACCTCAAAACGTAAAAATCCGTCGAAAACTCGAGGTCGAAAAAAATCATGATTCCTATACTTTCCTTATATCTGTATACAGATAGGAAAGTAAAAAATATATGAGCCTACGTCCCGCAAACATGGATCAAATTAATTCAAGATTCTTTATTAACTATGAGAATGGAAAGTGTAGCAGACAGGCTGTTGGAATTAATAAAATCAGTAAATTTCCTAATGAAATTGCTCAGTTTTTAACGCTTCCGAATCCTCAAGATTACACTGGGCACTGTTTCCGCAGAACATCCGCAACGCTATTAATGGATGCAGGAGGTGACTTGCTTCTGTTAAAAAAGCACGATGGTTGGAAATCTAGTAGTGTTGCGGAAGGATATGTTGATGAATCCACGAACAGTAAAAACCAAATACAAACCAAAATTTTACAATCTGTACAAAATAAGGAAACTACTAGTTCATCCGATTATGGCGCATCATCATCATCTGAAATGACATTTAACAGTAGAACAAATATGTCGGCATCTACCTCAATAAATAAAAAGCTTGAGTGTGATACCCCCATAATTTTGAACAATTGTTCAAATATAACATTAAATCAATATTTAAATAATAAATAATATTTCTGAAATATTTAATTGTTGGTTAATTTTTTGTTATTCCTAACACAAAATAAAGCATTTGCTAACGTTTATTTTTTTTTTTATTTTAGTAGGTACCTACATGACATAATAGAGTTCGTAGAAAAAGTATAGTGTTTTACTCGTCGAAAATCATTTTTCGTCACTCGTGAAACAATATACTATTTTATTATTATTAATTTTTTATTTTATTTTGTAATGGTGAACCTTACGTATTTATCCACCAATTTATTAAGTAGGCTCTAAAAAATTAATTTGGAACTATCGTCTCAATAGATACATAATACATTTAAATATTTAAAAAAATAAAATTCAATATTATTAGTATTGAAACTAAATGTGGTCAAAAAAGAAATGGTAAATATAGGATTAGAAGGGTCCCTATAGACGTCAAGACCATTCCCTTGCCGCATTAGCAAGGGTATCTAATATATTGCAGTATATCTGAAACCCTATTACAGCACAATAAAACATTTTTTACCATGTTTAAATAATATTTTTCTAATTTTGACATATAAAGTGACATTTTTTGTAATCGCAGCAAGTATCAAAATAATATTCTTTTTGCAACCAGTTGGATAATGTTGAACATTATCAAACTGGTTACAAAAAATTCAATATGTTATCAGTTGCGACAAATAAAATTCAATATGTTATCAATTGCGACAAATAAAATACAATATATACGTTATTATTGAAAGATTATATTAAAAAATGGTGACTACATAAAAATAGAATTTTATAAGTGAACTTAGAACCTAGTAATAATGTTGTTTTGGTCTATTTAACCTAACCCGGCGTCTGACAGGGGAATTTTTTTTCCATCTCCGATATGTGGGGTTTGACAAACCCCAACATTATAAATAAATTTTAATATATTTTTTTAAATATTTGTACCTTTTTACTTTCCTATCTGTATACAGATATAAGGAAAGTATAGGAATCATGATTTTTTTCGACTTCGAGTTTTCGACGGATTTTTACGTTTTGAGGTCCCCTGAATCCGTTTTGACTATTTTCGCGATGATGTCTGTGTGTGTGTGTGTCTGTGTGTGTGTGTGTGTGTGTGTGTGTGTGTGTGTGTGTGTGTGTGTGTGTGTGTGTGTGTGTGTGTGTGTGTGTGTGTGTGTGTGTGTGTGTGTGTGTGTGTCTGTATAACGCATAACTCATGAACCGATACACATAAAAACACCAAATTTTAAACTTAAGCTTTGTTTCAGCGTCCAATGAGCTGGTTAGATTTTGGGCAAAGTCGGAACATCTGGGGGGGTACTTTATTGGTGGTCATTTTTATATTTTATAGAATATATCTGTTATTTACGTTTGGAGAAGAAAATTTTTCAAATAAAAGTTACTTCTAATATAATTATCTATAATTTTTGTTCTATACAAAATTTTCCTAAAATGGTCCGTATTCGAGAAATTTGACAAAATGTAAAAAAAATATTTTTTATAAAAATTGTTCAAATAAAAGTTGTTTGTAATATAATTATCTATAATTTTTGTCCTATACATAATTTCTCTAAAATGGACCGTATTTGAGATATTTGAGAAAATGTGTAAATTTCGAAATTTGAAGAAAACTCAAAAACGGATAAAGGAAAAAAACAATAAATTTTAAACTTAAGGTTTATTTCGGCCTGACGTGAAATGATTAGATTTTGGACAAAGTCGGTACATCTGGGGGGGGGGGGTACTTTATGGGAGGCCGTTTTTATATTTTATGGAATATATCTGTTATTTATGTTTGGAGAAGAAAATTGTTCAAATAAAAGTTACTTCTAATATTATTATTTATAATTTTTGCTTTATGTCAAAATTTCCTGAAATGGTCCGTATTCGAGAAATTTGACAAAATGTGCAAAATTCTGATTTTTATGAAAATTGTTGAACTAAAAGTTGTTTGCGATATCGATTTCTATAATTTTTGTTTATACATGATTTTTCTAAAATGGACCGTAATGGAAAAGTGATAAATTTAAATTTTTCAGTATTTTCGTTTTCAATGAATATCTATAGAAAAATGTTTCGAGGTAAATGTATGCGTAAAATGTATATATTTAGTTTATCCTCTAAACATTTATAGAGATGCTGCAATAGGTTGTACAAAATAACCGGAAAATGCCTATAATAACTAGATAGGAAAGTCATGTGTTGGACACATCAGATTTTTTATTTTATTTTTATAATATATTTACTTTCTTTTATAAATTAAACACAAAAATTGATAATATTTTTTTTTTTTTTTTTCAAAAATAGTTACATTCAAAATTTAACGCATTATATTTTACTTACAAAATGTGGTACTAAACCAAATTTAAGTAAGAAAACAAAATCTTAGCTATCTAATTTATACAACATGAGAAATAAAAGTCAAAATACTATTCTTAAAACTAGAAGAAAAATCATCAAAATATGTCAAAAACCAAAGAAGTTATGCACAATCTTTGCAATATAGGAATGCATGCTCCATGCATATAAAGGTACTGCAAGCTTCACAAACGTATCTTGTCTTTCTGTCTCGAGCTCTGAGACATTTTGTACACCTTCCTTGCTGATTTGGCCTAAGTCTTTCGGGTTTAGGCTCCGAAGTGTGACCTAAAACTTTTCCATCCTTTGCATTATTCGTTCTTACACCAACTCCATGCCCAATTCTTTTATGAATAGCTTCCTGGAAATAACGATGATAAAAGTAAGATGGCCTTCCCTTTTTTTGAATAATATGATAGAAGCGCCAGGTCTTTTTGATAACCAAACTGACTCGAATAGAGTTCTTTACTGCGGGTTATCAAAAATTCTGGAGAAATATTTGGTTTGTTTTTTTGGATAGTTCCTACTGCAGTTAGTTTATGCTTCTCTAAAAGATTTTCAAAAAGTTCAATACTGGTGTACCAGTTGTCACAGGTAATATTTTGCTTTGTTCCTGACACTAGTGCTACCAATCGGTCAACAATGTCTTTTGGACTATTACTGCAACAAAATGGATTTTCAGCCTTAATATTTTTGTTAAATTTGTCAACAATACCTCTTGTGTGAGCCAGTTTGTCAATTTTTAGCCTTTCCTATCGGTTGCCTCTATTATCAAAACGCAAACAAGAAACTAAAAATTTAAATCTTCTTTGGCTCATGGTACATCTAAATATATCCATCCCAGTACCGTCGGAATTCCACAGTTCTTGCAAATTTCTGTGATTGTTCTTGAAAACGCCAGTTAAATAAAGAAGACCAAAAACTGCTTTCATTTCTACAATTGTTGTTTCCCATAATGCGATGAATTTTTTAATTTTTCTGATTTTTCAGCAAATCTAATATTTATATTTCTAACAATGTCAGCCGTCATTTCCTCATCTATAAAAAGCTCGAAGCATTCCTTTGGTGTTTTAGCATTCTTTTCATAATTCTTAACACCTGGTAAGTGGATTATGATATTATCAGCTCTAGTCCTCACATTTTTATTTGGTACTAGTTTAAACAATTTTGAGCCATTTTTGCCCGCAAAAAATGTATCCCGAATATTTTCTCGTATTTCACCTCTTTCTTCACTTTGTTCTTCTTGTGTCTCTCTCTCATCTTCATTCCCCTCATCTTGCTCTTGATCAGGATAGTTGCTAGTTATGCTCAGGTGATCAATATCTTCCTCTTCGTCCAAATATTCTTCATCTGAATAAGGTTTTTCAGCTTCAGACTCCTGCCAAAGTCTCAAGAGACGCTCCTGTTCCTTTTGCCATTCAAATATCTTGCTAAAAAAGATAAAACACTATAATTTTCCAAAAAACAACTTGGAACAATTGCACTTACCCTACAAAGCCAGCCAAGAAAATGGCGAAAAAATTTTTTTCAAAAACTGACACGTGGGGTGTGTTACACCCAGTATACTTTGAAGCGACACTCTCTTCTCCAAGTGCAACAGGCGACTGCCGAATGTATGTGCGCGCACAGAATAATATACAATTGAAAGCTACTAAGCCGCGCAAGCGTGAAGATGAAACCGTTACGAAGCTGTGTACGCGTTTTCAGTTGCTGGGGTTTATTACACCCCACGTGTCAAACGTCAAAATAAATCAGCAGAGAATAAATCAAACACGACAAAAACCCACTTTTTTAAAACTAAATAACATTAACAAGCAATATAAATACACTAAAACAAGTCGTTGATAATTAATTGGTATGATTTTCTATTTTCTTAATAAAATGAATTAAAGTTATGCATAGGCAACTAACAATACAGGAAAGTAATATTGGTTGCATAGTTATTAGTAATATTTTACCAAAACACAATTTTGTAAATAATCTAGTCAAAATTAGAAAAATAATTGCAAGTAACACTTGAAAAAATGCCATTTTGTGTGAATCGTTCATTTGTGTGACCTCGGTCTGCTCGTCCTGAAAATATTCACTCCTTACATCAAATAAGGCATTTCGTAACTAGTTGCATACTATTAAATTCGTTCCTAATTTTTATTAATTTATTTAGATCCAACTAATTATCCCGGACAAACTGGAGTACCCGCAAACGCAGATTCCAATCTTAATAAAATCATGAACACACACGTCAGAAAAGCTTTGAACTTAACCAGACCATGGGGAACCCAGAATGAAGCTGTTTTTGATGTATTAACTGGAGAAAAGGGAGATTTTATGGCTCCTGTTGTAGATCTTGTTGAAACCATTTTGAACAATACTGACATAAAAGTAGCTATTTTCACCGCACAATTTGATTTAATTTGCAATACTCCTGGTAAGTCAAGTCAAATAGTATGTTATAAAATGACTGTTACAAACAGGATATTTAGCAATAAGTAAGAGAATTCTCATGACATTCTTTCAGTGAATCTTTGTGTCGAAAAATTAAATTCCCTTTACACATTCTAATCATAATTTTGTTTACCAAATATTTTCTTTGACAAACATGGCAACTTAGAATGTATTTCTGCGAATACAACGTTGCCATACATTGCCTTACGTTGCCACAATCCTTAATAAGCACTTAACTAAAAGGTTTTTCGCATTAACAATTTCCTGCATTACTTCGTAAAAAGCGGCAATATTGCATTTGTTATCAGTGTCGGACTTTTTGAAAACATGTGTTTGTAAGTCTTCCCGTCCTGCTTAGCAAAACCTTTTTATATGCGCTCGAATGGCCCCTTAAATCTTCGAGAGCAGTCCTACAGTAGCCTTATTTCAAAACACAGTAACTACATTTTTATAACAATGAAGAAAAATCTAATTAAATATTATTTTTCAGACTTGGAAATAATAGAGATATTACAGAAAAAATTTATAGGTTACTAGATTTACCATAGTAAAAGAGTTTTATTTTAATTTAGAGATAAATATTCGGTCCTAACAAAGTGCAGCAGTTAAAAAAATAATTTTGTGTGGGAGTTTCAAACATTAAATTATTTTAATACCACATCAAAACACAGTCAATATCTTTTCTTTGTTTTGTATTATGTAAACTGGACAAAATTTGCTTATTGTTAAAATACATGGTATTTGAATTTAAAAAAAATGAACATCGTAAAAGACTTTTTAAATTTTTTATTAATTAAATACAAAATATAAAGGCTTGTTAACTGCCTTAAAGTTAAGCAAATAATGAATGAATATAATATTAAAAGCAAAGGTAATAATAATAATAATAATAATAATAATAATAATAATACAACGTAGAACCGCTATCTAATCAATGCAACTCTGCATGAATATATGTGTACGTCTGTAAATTGGCCCCATGTAACTGAAAAAATACAGGAGGTATTTTTGACATTGGAAAGTCATATGTTTTCTTCGGTACTTTCTTTTTCTTTCTTCATTTGGTATTTTCTAAAACGTTTTCTAAATACAAGATATGTAATGGTTGTAATACAGATGATTGCCAAAATTGGTACCATTACTGACATCGAAGTTTTTTACAGGGTGTCCTTTTTTTCTATGATGGGTTTAAGTTCATCTATTAATTTATTAATTTCGTATAGATCTTCGATGTTAATTTTGGTAATATTTGAGACTTGGCAATTCTTTTAAATTTTTAATAGTTTAGTTTTGAATTTTGGAAGTATCAATGGTTTTCCTTTTCGGATTTGTTGATTATTTGTAAATTTCAATTGCTTTATTTCAATTTGATATCCTACAGGAATTCTAATTAGAGTGGGTGTCTTGATTTCTAAAAACTTGTCTGTTTTGCATTTTGACAGTATTTTTCCTGGTTCCACGGGAATTATCAATACGCCGTTATTAGTTATTTGTTCAATAATTGGTTCTCGAATATTGATTTCAATGGCGTGACATCCCTTGGGTAATTGGCCATCAAGAAGTTAAGTGTGCAGTTATCTCGGGATATAAAATCTTGTGTGTATCTAACAAGATACCATTATCATTTATTATTTCTGTCTTTTTAAATTTTGGTAGCTTTTTGTCGCAAAATGTAGTTTGGACATAAGCTGTTTCCCTAGAATAGTCTGGGGGATCTAAACGAGTTTCGATAGCTTTAGCAATAAATTTTTCTTTAACTTTTCATTTGTTTCTTTAATAGTTTTGTATAATTGTTTACTCTCTTGTTTGTGATTTTGAAAATAATAAGATAAAATTAAATGATCGTCTAAATCGAACAGATCTGGATTATTAATGTGTCCTTTGATAATTTCGAACGGTGTGAACTTTGTGGCTGAGCGAATTGAATTATTATAACTAGGAATCAAATGTTTTATTGATTTTAGAAGCAGTGGGGGATAAATTGAACTTTATAATAGGCGGGTTTCGATTATACTTCTTTTTAAGACAAATTTCACAATTATTAATGTATTTCTCAAAGTCATCTAACATTTTTTGCCAATAGTATCTCATACTTAAGGAAGATCGAACTCCGTTAATTCCACGATGTCCCTTTTTGAAATTGTGATAGTATTCTAGTTTTTCTTTTTGTTCATCAGTAGTTAATACATCTGTTGATAATGTAGTACAATGTACGATTTTAAATGCTGGATTTCTAAAGTACTTTTGTAGTGTCGTTACGAAAAGTTCTAGTAAAAATTGATTTTTAAAATATATTGCATATGTTCTTTTGGGGTCAAGAAAGTCTATTACAAATTTTAAAATGCTTTCTTCTAATATTCTTTGAGGAAGGGTAACGTTTAGTCTATTATTTTCAAATATTTTTTCTTGTTTACATTTTGTTTCATTTATTTTGCCACAAGTTAAGAGGATTTGGTTTTTAAATTGATTTATAGGTCGTTCTGACATAGGAATAGATAATATCGGATTTTCTACCGAAGTATGTACAGTTTCTATATCGAGTTCTGGATTATTTTTTTTTTTTTGATGAGGTCTAATTTGTATATTCTATAAAATATTGATTTAAGGTTTTTCGTTTAAAATACTAGAAATTTCGTTTTCACTTAAATTTGGCAATTCTATCATTCTTTTGAGTTCATAATTAATTATTTGGTCTATATCGTCTATATTTATGATGCGGTTTCTAATGCATTGAAATCTATATTAGGAGGTTTGCGTGATAACGCATCAGCAATTTGATTATTTTTTCCTTTCTGGTATTCGATTTTATAATCGAATTCCTTTAGTTTTAAGCGCCACCTAACTAGTCGCGAATTGGACTCTTTAAGGGAAAAAAGCCATTGTAATGGTTTGTGGTCTCTTTATAACAAAAGGATGACCAAATAAATAAGGGCGGTGGTACGTACATCCCCATACTACCGCAAGCAATTCTTTCTCAATAACCGAATAATTAATTTCAGCTGAATTTAAAGTTCTCGATGCATAGCATATAGGGTGACCGTTTTGGCTTAAGACTGCCCTAATTGCATACATTGAAGTATCAGTCATAAGTTCAATGTTAAAGAAAACGTGGATTTTAAGAAATTTACCAAGTTGGTTCCATATTTGAAAAAATTGTCAGTTGGAAACCATCCTAAGAAATCTAAGGTATTGACTAGAGAGGAAGTTGAACAATTCATAAGAGAGGCAGATGATGAAACCTATTTGTTGGTTAAGGTAGATTTTTGATGATTGTTTTATGTGTTTTTTAAATTACTGATTTCCTTTTAGGTTGTTTTAATACTGGGTATTTCGGGTGCTTGCCGCCGTGAGGAACTCACTAAAATTCTCAACATAACATAACATATGGGACTCAGTATTGTATTCATGCAGACGAAAATATTTTCCTTCCCCTATTTTTTATACTTTTTTTCACGTTTCCGATCATTCTGAGTCCGAAAATGCAAAAAAAAAATGTGTCTGGTCGTCTGTGTGTATGTATGCCGGCACGATAACTCTAGAACGAAAGTTCTGATTGACTTGCGGTTTTGATTTTCTTGAATAATTGCTTCTAACTTAGAACCATATTGATTTTCACAATTTTCGGTTCATTCTAACTACTTTAATATCAATATTCTTAAAATCCGCCCCTGCATTTCTTACGTTACTTATTTTACGCATTTCTATCATTCCTAACGTCTAACATTCCAGACATTTATTAGAATTTAGAATTATATCTGTCATGCTTTGTCAATACAAATTAGCGCGGTGTTGCCATGTGTTCAATTAAAATCAATAAAAAAGAAATATAAAAAAATACCTTATTTTTGACATAATTTTCCATAGTCTTTAAAAAGCAGTTCTGTTGATTTATTTTCGGTCACACCCAATGATTTATTTATCCAATATTTGTTGTACTACATAATTTTTAAATATTAATATTACGTCATCTATAAAGTAATAAACAATGTACTTTTCGAAAACTTTGAAACATAATTACTTTATGTTCTCCAAAGGTTTTTAAATTTTTTTTGAATCAAGTGAATTTATTTGTTTGATAAATGACGCCAGCCAGCCAAGTTAAATGAGTACTATCAACAAGAGGATTGCTGAATTAGTTTAATTTGTGCTGGGTTAACAGT